TTGCTAAAGCCATCTGCTTGTCTTAAAAGCTAACAGTTTTTGAAGACTATGGCACGAGCAATCTGCAAAGTATGCAAACTTTGGAAGCCCCAAACCCTTAAACTGAGAATTGCTCATAGATCATCTAAGCAGGACTCAGCCTGGCTGTTGTGCAGGATTGAGACGGCATTTCAGCTCACAGTCTGAGCACACCCAGCACTGGGACACGAGGCTGCTGGAGGACTCACTTTGCAGCATCCTCGCATGCTATTCCCAATTGCTGAGGCTGCCTCCTGGGTTTGAAGTAATGGTTGAGCCCTTGAGTGCAGTGCGGTGCTTGGCCAAGACCGAATGGTTCCTGTGCTGCTTCTCTGTAGGTTGCTGTGTCCCGGGTGGTCACATCCTGCTGTACAGTGGGTAAAGTTAAACCTTGAAACTGGCACTGAGCAACTTACATGGCTTCTAGCAACGGCCTAATAAAGAGTGCATGATAGAGTGAGACTACCAAGTCCATAAGCACTTTGTTGCACAAAGCAGGTTTGTATTAGTCAGGATCTGGTCATGAACACACAGCATATTATGAGCACAAGACCCTTCAAAGCAGCTTATGGGAAGAAAATATCCTGTGCTCTTTCCACAAATGACCCCTTACAGAAAGGCAATGAAATTACACAGATGACTTAGAAGCTCTCAACATGTTCACAACTGATCTGAGGATTAAGACTAGCAATCAGCATGTTTACTTACGATCTCATTCAAAGCTTACTAAAAAGTAAATAGGGCACACCCGTCCATAACCAACACAGTGCTTGGGTGTATGCTTAATTATCAGCACATGAATAGCTCCATCACCTATTCAGAGTCATATGCTGTAACTTGATAACATCCTTCACATGCAAATTACCGGCCAGACTTATTATATTCTGAAACAAAACAAAACATATGTCGATATGCATGTAGATACATATCTGACAGCAGATATCCAAAGTAATCCAAAGTATCACCACTCAGAAGAGCAGAAAATCACTTGGAGCTATTCTGGATGGGCCTTAAAATTCAGTTCTTTCTGGGAGGTAACTTTGGGAGCCGAAGCGCTGTAGTCAAGGAGACCTTGCATACTGAGTCACAGCAGAGCCTTCAAAGCTCTGCTGCACTTTGCTCACACCGTGTGAGCCTGGGGTAGAGGATAATGGCTGTTACGGGGTATTTGCTGGATGAAAACGAGAACCGTAGTGAAATAAATGTGGAGACTAACTGGGTTTGAATAATAACCTCCAGGAAGCAAAGCACTGTGCTCACAAGCCCAAATACCTGTGAAGTCTTGTGCTGTATGCAGACAGCTGCCATTGAAACTCATGAAAATTGCAACCATGGGCAGAGATGGGTATGTGGGAAGAGTCAGTAGCCCACAATGCAAAAGGAAGAGAAACAATGACTTACAATAAGCCTGGCTGACACACTCATCAGCAAGTTGTTTTTTCTCTCCTTAAAAAGAAAAAAGGCAGGCAGTAACAAAGAACTGTTATTTGATTCTCAAAGTCAACAGCACTCATATTCGAACACAGCCTATTTGAAGGCACAGCGGGGATAGCACTGTAATTCTCCACTGTTTGTGTCCTGGGCTAAATAACAAAGATGCAACCTAAATAGTGGCAGTTCAGCCTCACAGGATTCAGTCTCTAAAAAGTAAGTCCATCACTTAAGAGGTACTTTGCAATCTCAGCTGCTGCAAAGCGCACAACAACGAATTCCACCCCCTAGAGAATCGGTCTGAATCGCTTCCACCACTACCTGCATAAGATTGCATTTCCCTTTTTCAGCTCTACACCAGAAGTCGGACATGCTGCACAGCAAGGCAAACCTATTGCAGACTTCACACGGGGCTTACATTGAGGCTGCAGATCCAGGTGCTATATACCAATAACAGGACATGGTCACAGTGCCACATCCCTCAGCACCTCCCTATTAGTGGTACCAGGCTGCATTCCCACACCATGAAGGGTCTGAGCAGCCTGTGCTCAGAAGAGGCAGAACCTGGTGAGACTCTGCAAAATCACCCATGGCTCCCACTCAGAAATCAACTAGGAAGCATTAATGTAATGATTCCAGGCAGACAGATAAATAAAAGGTGAAAAGGCTTTTAAATGCATCCTACAAGCAATATTTTATCATCCGGATCAATATGTCTCTCTAGGCTGGAAACAAATGACTTCTAAAACAAAGTTAAATTTAGGAACGACGGTGTTCATTTTTCCTCCTATGGAAAGCGGTGCTGGCATTTCCTTGGAGGGCATTTATAAGAACAGCAACCCAAACCTGGGGCCCCATCACGCTTTCCCTAAAATCAGTGTGGTGAGAGGTGAAGGTCACTGCTATCAGCCTACGTAGTGAGAACTGGAATAGCTCTGAAATCATGCAGCATTGGCCTTAGATTCCACGCCAGTCACACCAGCATGGAGAACTGGTGCAGCCCCAGACTGAAAGCACGACAGCTTTGCTCCCGCTTCGCTTACGCAGTCAGCTAACTTCGCTGCTGTCTCTATGAGGAATCACCTGAATAAGGGCTCCGAGCCTCCCGAGTTCGCAGCCCCCGGCAATAGCAAACACCGACATGAAAGCAGAGCGGCAGATTTCTTTGTGGCACTGTTTGTTGCTGCCCCCTTTTGCCAAACGGCGAAGCAACAGCCCAGACTTCCACTGAAACTTTCGACGTCGTGTTTGTTTTCAGGTAAACAGAACTCACGCAGACGGTCTCACTTAACCCTAGCGTGGTTGCTCATACGGTTATCAAACCTGGCTAAAATAGGAACGCATCCTCCGAGCCACGTTGAAGATGACACAGAACGCTCTGCAGTAACACACCCCAGCAAGGCCTGAGCCCAGCTGGACTTTTCCAGCTGACTCTAAGCTAAGGTAGAGAAGCAATGGCAGTAAGCTCAGGGTGCACACTCCCCCACTCCAGCTTTCTGTCTGGAGAATAAATAGTAACCTCACCAGGCCACCGGTGCCGTTTTGCCTGGGCACTTGCTTCATCCCAGTGCAAAGCAGCTGAAATCCCACGGCACCGCCTGCACTGAGTTTCTCTCAGGCTCTATGGATTCCAGGTAACCCCAATCCCTCACCCTCTCTTTAAGTCTGTGTGACCCGGTTGGGGCCACGCTGTTAAAAGCCATTCCCCACACAGACCCCCATCCGCAGCATCTCTCTGCTCTCCCCTTATGTCCTCTGGGGTCATTCTTTCCTACTCTGCAGTTTGCCCCTTCTCTCCCCCCAACTCTGTGCTGAGGGCAGGGCAGTGCTTTCAGCAGTCCCACAGGCCAGAGGCACACAGAACAAACCTCCATATGCCAAATGGCACAAACTCGCTCCCTCCCACCCCCCATGACTTCAGGATTAACGTGTTGCTGACAGGGGAGGACAAAAACTTAATCTCTTGGAGGAAAGAAGGCAAAATAGCGGGAGAGGAGAAAAAAAATAAAAGGAGAAATCGTCTCCACTGTGCTGACAATGGAAAAGGCACAACATGAAATGCAGAGATCCCACACTGCAGCCCGCCTTGTGCAGAGCCAGCTCGGCATTCTGCACGATCTGAACAGAAATAAAAGTTGTAGTTCAAAAGGGAGAGAAAAATGAAAAGGAGACTGGGATGATTCAAGCAGCTATTTAAAAAGGAAACCTCTGTTTAAAAATCCAGAATGATATGCTTAAATATTCCTTTTCCCATTGCCTTCTCTGCAGTTTATGACCAGTTTTCTCCCTGGGGCGCTCACAAATCACAAGTATAATCGAGGAGCGCTTTGCTGTGTGCTGTGTGTGTAGCTGGAACAAGCTCCTCTCGCTCTTTGCCTGCACTCAGTCTGCACCTCTGCTGATCCCAGGCAGCAGAGAGAACCGAAGCTCGTCCTAACTTTTAGCTTTGCTGCTTTGTATTTTGCTCACAGTGCAGCCAGTGCGGGGTCTCAGCCCACAACTGAACTCGTCCGGAGGCGGAGAGCTAACCTCGTGCTGCTCACACTGTAATTTGGGAGAAGTATTTTCTGTAATGAGAGGGAACGCTCGCCCAAAAAAAAAGGAAACTTTACTATGATCCCAAACCGATATATCCATGCAGAAACAGTTCGAGGATGAAAAAGAAACAAAAAAAAAAAAAAAAAAAAGCAAACCGGGACTGGCATCTACCACGTTTGGAGACCTTTTTTATAGACAAGAGTCCAACCTGAGCCAAGAGAGAACAGTGAAGCCTTAGGACACAGATACTCCCTAAAACGCTCCACCTAAGCCCATGAACAGACAGGTTCAGCCCGACTTGGCAGCACACCTTTTGTTTGTTTCCTCTGAGGCGTAACAGCAAGCATGCTCCCAGGCAGCAGCGCCGAGCAGATGGCAGCGTTGGAAAATGCACATCTCCAACTTTTGGTGTGGGCGTCGGGGCAGCAGCCACAAAGGTTGCTTCGGGAATCCCCCCCTCCCCGTAAGTTTCTAACAATGCACGGAGCTACGGAGCCGCACAAGGCTCTCTGCTTCCCTCTCCCCTTCGCTTTTGATCTCCATCAGGACGTGAGCTGAAATTTAATGGGCCACCCCTACCACAAAGACAAATTACCATCCGGGAAAGAAGAAAAAAAAAAAGAAAAAAGGAAAAAAAATCGAGAAAAACGATCACAACAAGCATTAGTATCCCTGCGTCTAAGCTCTCCGGTTTTCCTGTCGCCTCAGCCCCGCTCGGCGGGTTACGGGAGAGCTGGAAGGTGAGGAGCAGAGAGAGAACGAAGAAATCACCTCCGCCGCCTCCCGGCTCGTTCCCTCCCCATCCTGCCCGCCCGGACCGCACCAGCAGCGCCCGGAGCGCCCCGACTGCCCACTGCCGGGGCAGAAAGGACGGAGCAGGAGGACGGCGCTCCGCGGGGTGCCCCGACTCCTCCGCACCCCGGGCCGCAGGGGGGGCTTCCCGCCGAGCCTCCAAGTTCGCGCCGCCCCCTCCCCGCCACCCTCCCCCGGCCCCTCCGTCGCGCTGAGCTTACGGGCTCTCCGGCGGCTCCGGTGCGGGGCTCACGGGCGCATCGCGCTCCGGCTGCAGCGGGAGGAGAGCGGGGAGCGGAGCGGAGCGGCGGCTCGCCCCAGCCCAGCGCTTAGGGTGCGCTGCCCCGGGCCATGCGAGCGGCTGCGGGCAGCGTCCCCGCGGCGCGGCCGGAGTTGGGACCCAAGTCCTGCCCTGAGCTCCGCTGCCTCTTCCCGGCGGCTCCTATCAGCGCGGCTTCAACTCTTTCCATCGGAGACCGGGAGGGGGGGAGGAGGAGGAGAAGGCGGAGGAGGAGGAGGAGGAGGTAGGGAAGGAGGAGGGAGCTAGGGGCTGGCAGCCCCAACTCGCACTGATGTCAACTAATGTATTCAAAGTTCAACAGGGCATTTCTTCGCGGGCGGATCGCCCTCCCCGCAGCCGGACCGGGAGGCTGTGGGGGGAGGGTGGCCCGCGGAGCTCTATCTCCGGGCCCCTGCCTCTAGGGTGAAGGGGGGGACAGTGCCGGGGACTGCCTCCATGGGGAAGGCGGGGAGAGGATCCACAGAGAGCGAGGGTAGAGCCCGCAGCGGAGCGGTGGTTGTACGGAGAGCCCACCCTGCGGGAAGAGCTGGGCCGGGGCCGGGATGGGAGCGGGGGGCACAGGGGCGAGCACGGAGCGCAGCCACCGCCGCGTCGAGCGGACACCGAAGCGAGCCCGGGCGCTCCGCCAGCGCCTCCTGCTCAATGGAAGGGCGAAAGGGACAGAAGTGAAGCCGGAGAAGGCGGAGGGGTTGGGGGCTGTATGAACAAAGAAGTTTTGCCCCGCAGGAGCGCAGCCGGTGGGCGTCAAGCCGCCGGTAAGCGGAGGGCAGAGGTATGGCGGGGCCCCGCGGGGGGCCGGGGGCTGCTGGGCTCCGCGGTGCCGCTCCGCTCCTTTAAGCCGGCGGCGGAGAGCTGACAGCTAAGCGGTATGTGTGGCGATGCACAGGCAGCCTGGCGGTAAGAGGATAAAAATACAGCCGGGCTGTGTTAGCGACATTTAAAAATTGCGAGATAAGAACCTCAGTTATTTATCTGCTGGATCCTCCGGTAGAATGGCCCGCATTGATACCACTGCATATGGATGTGCACGTATATAATGGGGCTGGGATCCTCCTGTGAACTGATCCAGTCATTGATGTTGACAGTCTGTTATAGCTATATAAAAACAGTGACACTGTACAGTGGCTTATCAATCCTGAGACTTCCAATTGCAGCAGCACTGGGTGTTTCTCAATTCACGTCTCAGAGAAGTAACAGTATAGAGATGATCATTACACAATATGTAATTACTTACCTGTTCTTCTTAATTTCTCAGTCCTCTCTTAATCAGGCAACTTCTTTCCTTCCATGCAGTAACACCCCTTTGGTACAGCTCGCGTGAGATAGTCAATACATTATTTATATGCATAGCATTTGCGATCTGATTTCCACTTTAAAACTGACACGGGAAAATTGAGGACAGGCAACGAGAACAAATAAAACGCAACGTGGTTGCATGTTCTGCTCAGAACTCCCGCTCTGGAATAAGCTTCGGGTCAGGCAGAGCTGGGAGCTGCAAAGCAAACTGCCCCGTGCAGAGCAGCGTCTCATTTACCACTCTTTTTGCATCCCCATCTCTTCTGGAGATCTACAGAAAAACCCTGGTTTGTTGTCATCTTCTTGGGGTACTGTATTAAATCACCATGTGAATGGTAAATAGCTTTCAAGTCCCTCCGTTTCCCCAATCAGCAGGATGATATCTTTCAGTTTAATAACTTAAATGCTAAATGCTGATGTCAGGCAGGCTCGGTGTTGGGAGCAGGACACAGCACAGATCTGTATTGGGGCAAGCTGTTGTGGGGCACTGCTGGCTTTATTTCTCAGCTGTGCTGTAGAGAAGGCAGTTTGGTTCCCAAGGCCTCAGGGATAGAGCAGCATGCTGAACCACATCTCCATAGGCATGCATTGCAAAGAGCCCCACAGGTAAAGTTATAAAGAAATCCTAGAACCTCAGAATCACCAGGGTTGGATCATCCAACATCATCCAGTCCAACCGTCCACCTACCACCAGTAGTTCCCCACTAAATCACATCCCTTAGTACAACATCTAATCCTTTCTTCTGCACTTCCAGGGATGGTGCCTCCACCACATCCCCAGGCAGCCCATTCCAGTGCATCACCACTCTTCTGGAGAAGAAATTTTTCCTGACATCCAACTTGAATCGAAATGCTGCAGCGATTCCTTGGGCTGCTTGTTTCCATGCATTAACTCCAACACATAGGGGGACCTCCCTGAAATCTCTGGCCAAACAAGGGAATCACTCAGCTCTCTTTAGCAGAAGGCTCGCGATGCAAAGCAGTGCCGTTCACATGCTTTGAAAAAGATAGAAAAATGAGGGGATTGCCCGAGGAGCGGTGTGTGTGGAACTGTTTCCCAGCTGCGAAGCAGAGCGGCGGCAGAGTGCTGGTCCCGCTCGGTGCTGCTTGCTGGTACCGCTAGGTGCTGCTGCTGCCTCCCGGTGCGGCGATGCGGGCGAGAGCGCTGAGGCGCTGCTGAGCGTGAGCAGCTGGGATGGAGATCTGTAGGGCAGGGATACAGCAGCTCCAGCCTTGCTATGGGACGGGTCATCCACAGCAATACCCCGAGCTGCGGCTGTGTTTCCTTGCTTGGCCGAAGAAGGCTGTGCTATCTGCATTTGCACAGGGGAAAAAAAATCAATCTGCACAGACCTGCTCGGACCGAGCTGCTCTGGGTATGCAGATAGGTGTTACTGGGTTCGGAGGTGGATCTGGAGCACAGCATCCACTCCCACCCAAGCTGAGGACCGTTGTTCTGCAGAGGGAGCAGCGCAATTAGAAAGGCAGTTTTGCTGCAGATGGCCAGAGCGTCTCACATGGAGCCAGGGAAAGGGAAGGAACATATGTCAGTGGCGACCTTCTAAAATGATGCTTAAGTGGAGAGTACGTGTGTTCAGGTATCCACTTCAGTAACCAGCTGTGAGTTCTTAATTCCCCACAGCGCTGCTAGGGGAGAAGAAGGGTTTCCATGGGGAAAGCATTCTAAACATGCAGTAAAATGTCCTTTACAACTTTATGCTGATGCCAGTGACTGACTGAAGTGCAGCCCAGGCTGCCCTTCTCAGTGTTTTCTCAAAAGGGAAAAAAAAAACACTTCTAAATACAATATCAGCAAATACTCCAAAGGGATGGCAGGCTGTGCTAGTGATAGTAAGCATCATCCTGAATATTTAGATCTAGATCTGAAGCCAAATGGCCTTTAGCCATAAAATATTTAGGCACAGGGCTTTTTGTGCTGGAATTTAAAATAGGTTGCTCAGTAGTCACAGTTGTGGTTTCCGGCCTCAGGCTGATGGCAACGGTAACATTTTAATTTATACTAAAGAGATGGCAAAGTTAAATCTGTGACACGAAGGGAGAGTCAGATGACCTGAAAGCAAGAGAATACAAATGAGCTCCCTGGAGAGAATAGGCTGTGATGGAACAAATGGAATAATACAGAGGGATGACTTGACACTATCGCCACAGCGACTGTATTTCACTTCTTTGGGGAGAAATGAAATGAGCTTAAATTGGGACAACTGCTTTATTTTCAGAGAACTACATCTGAAGCCTGTGCTGCCTACAGACAAGTGATATACATTTGTTTCTCCCCCTGAAGACAGGTCCTGTTAATTGCCAATTTTCCTGTCTCTTGACATGAGGAGGTCAGTAAATGTCACCACAGTTAACAGACACAGGCCCAAGTATTCCCACTGAGGCTCATGAAGGCAGAAAGGTCCCTGTCTGCAGAAAAAGACTGATGAAACATAAAGGTTGAGTTAACTACACGGCACAGCAGAAGGGAGGGAATGTTAACCTGAGGCTCTTGTCACTGCCCAGGGAGCAACCACATTTTGATAGGATATACAGTGCCTAGCAGTCACCTATTTGTTGGCAAATAAAAGGAACAGTGAAAAATTAGTTTTAAACAATGCCATTAAGAGGTATGACACTACATCAGAAACTGTAACTTCTTGTAACTCAAGGCCTGAGGCTACAGGCCGTGCTTATTAGAACGTTACTTCTGCCTTGAGACTGGAAGTGTGAAGCCTGCTGCTGTACACTGTTATTGTGTTCCAAGATATGTTATCTAAGGGACTGAAAACTTCTGTGGTAAATACAAGTGGGATTTTTCTTTACGGGCCCCCCCCCGGCGGGAGTTTAGAAACATTGCAATTACAACTACCCCTTAATTTGGAGAGGTGTTGTTTGGCACATAAGATGTCTTAGTGAACACTCCATACAAGGTCTGGATTTGAATAAAAAGTGAATTCAGGACTTGTCCCCGCGTACCCACTGTCTTCATACCTAATGTTAGATAATTTACCTTTATGATGAGCTTAATACTCATCATTTCCCATTACCACCTTTGACAGATTTTGCTATATCCTAATTTTCATTTAAACAGCTGTGTTTACAGAAGAGCACTTATACAACAAACTGCTGCACCCTACAAGATGTCCTCTACTGAAAAATCTGGATCTGAATATGAGTAAGCTTTGAAGGTATCAGTTTCCCTTCCTTTACCTGTTTATGTAATGAGCAATATCTTGAGAGAGAAATTTTCAGTGTCAGGTTTGGCAAACACAGCTCTCAATATATTGGCAATATGAACATACTGGTAAAACTGAAAGTCCATTCAGCAGATTGTAATTCTCTTGTAGTATTTGGAACTCATGATCTGGAAAGCCATTCTGAAAACTTAAGGTGCTCAGAGCACTCCATTAATACAGTGTCCTTCCATACCTGCGTGCTTTTAATGAACTTAACTAAAATCCATGCAGTACCTACTCAGTGTGTGATATTCAATTGCTTATAATCAAAACCAATTGACTTTAAAATCTCACCCACGTTGGCTGCAGGGCTATTTAAACTAAAAGGTCAGGAGCAAGAAAACCTATTTTTTAAAAAAACATAACTTTTTATTCTTCTCATTCAACATACAAACTGTTTCTGAAAGTGATTTTTTTTTTTTTTTTTTTTTTTTTAAGCAGGGGCAGTTAGTTAAAAATTCAAGTCTTGTAGTTTTGTAGATATTCAGACAGATATTTAAAATGAGGGCTTAGGAAAGGAGCTGCATTCTGTCTTCACCTGTGGTGGTTGTGACCAAATAACAAAAGCTTTCCTCTCTGAAGTGGGTCCACTGGAATTGACACAGACTGACCCATAGGGTTCTGTAATTTCAAATTCTTAGACAGGTAAGTGGAACTTCATGGGTTCGGCCATCTCTCAACAGTAAACCTGAGATGTAACTCTAAACCTAACAGCTCTGCCTGTGCTGTCCACATTTGCATGTTGTAGATCTGGTCCCTCCTGAGCTGAAATGTACTCCTTCCTGACATGGCAAGGCATCAGATGGCCCATGTTAGTGAAACCTTCTTGTGAAATACAGAGAGATGGGAGGGTCTTCCACTGAGAGCCCTGTGTGACATCTTCACCACCCAATTCATGGAGGCAAGGTGGCTTCTTCCTTTCTACGTGAATGGAGCAGTGGTGGAAGCAGTCCTATGGTGAATGGGAATCTTGGACCTAGTAATTGGTAATATGTGCAATATGAATATTTACTGTTATTTTGCCATTGGTAGGAGGAGGTTGAGCTGGATGTTACTGCAGCGTGTGGCCTGCTCTGATTTAAAGAGGTTGGAAAAGATAGCCACCTCTTTCTTGCAATGCCTCAGCAAAGAGACTGTGGGATACCACAAGCATTACATTAGCAGAAAGCTAAGAATGCCATCACACGAGGCCGTGCTCTGCACTTCTTCCTAGCTGAGATTATCTGCTTCCCTTCACAGGCACAGCCAGGGATGTCAATAAAGAAAAATGATTGCAGCAGAGTGGGCTAGTGCACTGAGAAGCTTTCTGCTTTGCATTTTGAGCAGGTAGAAACCCTACCACTTCTTCTGCAAAACATCACGTTCTTCCTTCAGTATGACCATCACAACACATAGTGGCATCTCAAACGTAAGGCATGACAGCAAAGCAGACTGGAGCTGCACAGTGAATTCTGAAGACACAGTGCAGATCAGGGTGGCTGGAACAGGCAGGGTAAGGTATTGAACTTTACCAGTATGCCAATATAATCCCTCTTCTCAGATAATTGCAACCACTTTGTCTGCATAGCTATTTATATACTACTGACTTTCCATCTTACATTTCTTTCCAATTCAAAGTTATCCATCAGAAATGCCTTTAAATATAAATATGTATAATCAGCACTGCTACTACTTATTTTTCTAACTACCATAACTTGTACTGCAACTTGTGTTGTATATTCAGCCTAGTCTAGCAGCCAGACGTATTCCATGAATTCTGGTCAACAACCATTAGGAATTTTATCACTGCCAGAAAAGCAGAAATGTATCTCTTGCTGACTAAGTCAATATGTTATCCTACTGTTACACCATATGGCTGTGGATGCTAAGGCTCAATGCACCCGCATCAAGTGACCCCCAGACCGGAGGAATGGTACAATGGATGGCAAGGTTTCCATTCAGAATGACACCAATCAACTGGAGGAGTGGGTTAGACAGAACCATGTCAAGTTCAACAAAGGCAAATGCAAAAAAGCATGCAATAAAGTCAGAAGCAGCCCATGTAGCACTTCAGGATGAGGCTGAGCAAGTGTCTCCATTGGACCCCAGGGCCTGTAGATCAAGAGCTACTACAAACTGGAAAGTCTCCAGATAAGCCAATTAGAAGACTGCACCACCTGCTGTACACTATGAAGCTGGGGCCACTGGGTTTGGTTAGCCTGGAGAAGAGAAGGCCAACAGGGTGTATAATTACACTAATCCTACAGGAAGATAAAGCCTAATTTTTACAGATATGTACAGCAAAAGGACAAGAAGCAACAACAAGCTGCAACGAGGGAAATACTGTTCGGAAATACAGAAGTAGTTCATATTGGTGGGACTAACACATCACTGATTTCAGGATTGTTCATCATTAAAACTCAGCAAGGTCCTTAGCAGCCCAATCTGATTTTACACCTAGCCCTGCTTTGAAAGGGAGCTTGGTCTAGAATTACCTCTAGATATTCTTTCCAATCCTTTTTTTTTTTTTTTTTTTTTGTGAATCTACAACATAAGATCCAGTTCTATAGAATACTAAGCATTGCAACATCATCTATCAGTCATGAAGTTGTTTGAAACTCTGTTAGAGATCAACAGAATTGTTTTTTTAGAATAGTGACTGTATGGGAACTGCTGAGTCACGGCCTGAACCTCTGATTGATCACCTGAGGCAAGCCATGAGTCAGCCAGAGGAGCACAGGTGAAGGCAATTCACCTGTGCTGCTGGAAGCCAGTGGAGCCAGGCTCCACCCCTCCTAGACCTATTTAAAAGCTGGCTACCAGGAGGGGATGATCTCTTCTGGAGATCCTCTCTGCTGGGGTGTTGTAAGAGAGGCTGGGATATGGGTAAGCTTTCTATCTCTTCTCTTTTTGTTATTGTAATCTGTTTTGCCTAACTCTTTTGCTTATTTTGTAATTATAACATCTTAATGTTTGTTGATTATATGGTGATCTATCTAGATCTCAGCTGTGATTTCTTTTATTAGGTAACCAGGACAAGTGTAATCAATTCTTTGACTATATATTATACTTAGATTGATGTGAGAGAAGTTTGATTCTCTTTTATCTGTCCTCAAAGATTAAAAAAAAATTCAGTGATGTTACAGGAGAAAAAAAGTCAGAAAAACTGAATGGAAGTGCCACATTTCATGTAAATATTATCACTGACCTACAGTACAATCATTTCTACAGTTGGCAGGCCAAATCTCACTAATAATTCCTTCCTTGTCAGATCATATTGAGTTGCTTATACAAGTAAAGGTCTGTAGGCATGTGAATTAATTTGTAGAAAGGTGGTTAAATTTCTAAATCATGTATTAAATTACTTTTCTTGTACAAGTTTAACTTCATTTTCCAAGCTAGTCGCATGCAACAGAGATGCAGTAATGTAGGTATTCCAACTGAAGGTGTGATTTGCTGCTGGTGCCTTCTAAAACACCATTTGTAAGTCAGATCACTGAAAAGATCAGTGATTTGTGTTCTGGATGTTGTGAGATCAGAGAGGTGGAATATTGGAAAAAAGATTAGGTTTATTTTTGTATATGGACTTGAAATACTAGACTAGTATAGAAATCAACTTGTGGAGTTACAAACCCTGATCCAGCAAAGCAAAAAAATCATGAGCAAGCCTATCTGAGGTGTTCAAGGAACATAAATATCAATTCATCCTTGAACCAAGTCCCATTTCAGTTTAAGGCACAGCAGTGGTATTCAAGCACTTGCTTAAATTTAAGCATGTGCTTAAATGTACTGATGACTTGGGGCACTTTTACTTGAATATCACTATATATCACCCACAGACAGTTTTGATTTTTTCACAGGGAGTAAAAAAATGAGAACTCCAATATTAAATGTCTGTCTGCCTGAGCCTGATTAAATAGAGAAGTTAGCCACTAGTTTCTCTAGTGTCAATGTGGGCTAAAAGCATTCATTCTCATGAATAAATGTATTTGGTCCTTTAAGAGGCTTGGTTTGAAATGCAACAACCACTGAACAATCTGATTGAAACCAATATACGAGCAGCCAGACTAAGATATAAATGCCTTTCATAGAATCATGGAGTGGATGAGGGTGGAGGGGGCTTTAAAGATTATTTAGTTCCAACACCTCTTTCATAAGCAGAGTTGATGACCACTAAGTCAGGCACCAGATCAAGCTGCCCAAGGCCCCATCCAGCCTGTCCTTGAATGCCTCCAGGGATGGGGCACCCACAGCCTCTCTGGGCAGCCTATGCCAGTACCTCACCGCTCTGAGTGAAGAATTTCTTCCTCACTTCTAACATAACCTTCCCCTTTTAGTTTAAGGCCATTCTCCCTTGCCCTGTCACTAGCAGACCACACAACAAGTCAGTACCCCCCTCCAGTCTGTAAGCTCCTCTCAAGTACTGAAAAGCCACAGTGAGGCGTCCCTTCTTATCTTCAAGAGAAAGAAGCCCAATTCCCTCAACATGCCTTCATAGAAGAGATGCTCTAGCCCTCTGATTGCCTTCTTGACCATTTTTCCAACATTCCTGCATCCTTCCACTGCACCTCCCTCAGGAACTTTATCCTTTACTGTTTGTAGGTTTACCTGTTTGATGCAGTTATAAGCTCTGACTCAAGTTCTCACTGTTTGCCTCCAAAAAACACTGCATCAGGTAGCAAACATTTGAAATGCTGAGCTAAAGCAGTATTACTCACTTCAAACTGTCATTTGCACGTGATGTAGCGAAGGAAAAGACTTTGCAGCCTAAATACCAATAATTTCTCACTGTAGGATTCAAAACAAGCTTTGGTGATTGGTGCCGCACTGATACAAATGATGACACGGAGAGTTCATAAAGCTACAGTGGTCTGTGCTGAAACACATCCTCTACCTCACTGCACATCTTGCATTATAGCCACTTAAAGTTATTCTAAGGTGCTCAGATGAAGAGCCTGAATAACAATGATAGAATTTGCATTCAGGTCTCTGTTTTTGGGAGTGCTTGAAAGCTGGGCTGAATAATCGCATCCTTTGACAGTTACCTATGAAGTGCAGCAGAAGGTCCTCATTTTACAAAAATTCAGGTTCACTTTAATCCAGATTTTCACCCGTAATCTGGCAATAAATCTTCTTAATATGAGAAGAAGCCAGCCAAGATCAGTCAAGCAATGGGCAGCTTGCTTCCCAGGTCACCAATTCTGCTGCCTGCAAACACAGCAATTCTTGAGCCATAACCCACCAAAGCCCCTGCTGCCACTGTGTCCAAACACCTGTCAGCCTTGGAGCTGTGATGTCTTGCTGCAGCTAGGAGTTCAGGATGAGATTCATTTAAAATTTCCAAATGCATTTTTTATTTGTTTGCTTGGTTGTTTAAAACCAGCTAGACTGTAAAATAAGCATCCTTCTTTGATGTCTTTGTCTCAGGCATGTCTCTGCTGTGAAGCCAGCTGTGAGCAAACAAAAGGGCAACAAAGAAATGCAAAGCACCAACATGCAGAGTGACCTGAAGAGAAAGTTACATGTCTGTGTGTGAGAGAGTGTGCACAGTAATGAGTGTGAGTCCCAACATTCTGGTGAGAGAAAGCTCAATGATGGGGAGCAGCAAAGCAGATGAAGGAAGCTTGGTTTCCCATTGTTTTCTAGTGCCGATCTAATTTTGCTCAGTAAATTTTGTCAGCCATGATGCATGTTGGAAAAATAGTGAGAAAAGGCTTGGGATGCTGTAAGGGCAGAGAGAATCTAGGAAAGGTCTGAGGCGCAGATTGTGGCAGGAAGGTGTTTGAAAAATCACTGAGTCCACACATTACTGGTTACACATGCTGTGTGATTTCAGCGGGAGATAGTAGTATTCACAAGCAAAATTCGGACTGTTTGGTAATGGTCTGATCAGCAGTTGCTGCTTTAGAGCCCTGAAATGGCTGCATTTCAGTGGTAGGTACAGAGATGCCAATATCTCCTAAGTGTTTGGGCATTGTGCTAGTTAGAAAGGTGTTACCAGGTTTTATCTTTACTATCTTTCACACAAATGTGTGCTTAGAGGGAAAGCATGACACAACTAAGGCAGCCTTCTGCTCAAGGCTCCCCAGGAACTCCTTGAGGTCACAAGTACTCTGAGGAACCACTTTTTGCTGTTTAGGCTGGGAAGGCATCAGGCCAACTGGTACAACTGACATCTCTTTTACCATGTTCACATACTGTAATGCTTGTATGGATTTTGCCTAAACTCATACATGAGTTGTCATGGGATTCCATTCCCTGCTGGTTGTTTGCTGTGCTCTTGCACATTCTGAGGTGATTTTTCATGTTGTCAGAAAGGTCTAGCACTGGGCTTGTTTCACATGTACAAGTGAATGCTGAGGTGATGGAGGATTCCTTTTTCCTATGCAAGCAAGATTAAAAAAGAGGGCAGGAGAGAAAGAGTGAAAGGGTATGTGGCAGCCGAAAGAGCAAGAAACCTTAATTTGTGGAAGTAATAACACTTATGTCAGCTGCTCCTCTTTTCTGAAAGATGGAACCTCACTGATTGAAAGATGCTCAGGTCAGATACGCTCTCACTACTCAGCAGCTCCATTGCTGTAGCTCTTGTAAAACTGAAACCATGTGACCTTTCATGCACTGCTGTTTTTCATGGCTGGTCTCAGCAGAGTATAGGAATTGTCATATATTATCAACTCAGCAATCTATTAAGATTAGTATTCTCACTAATGGTAGCTTAAGAGTGTAGTGCCATAATTCGGTGTGTATACTTGTTTCTCTGCTTTAAATCTCAGGTTAAACTCCTGATAGACTCAGTTTTTTTCCTGGAAACACCACTTAAAGTATCTTTGAAAACTGTTGATAATTGTGCCAAATCTGGACAGCCTCACAGGCACATCACTGAACAAACCCTGAATCTTTACATTTGTGAATGATGGCACAATGTGTCTTCCTTGAAGGTGACCATGATGGGGGAAAAAAAGACTTATTTTCCTTATGGAACAGAAGCAGGGAGAGGAGATGATTTTCACAGTCGGTCCCTCCTCAGTTGTGCACTAAAGTTGTAGCTACAAACTCATCCTTTCTCTCTGGTGGCAGCTATTTGGCTCAGTGTGTTTTTCTCAGTCTAATCCAGTACATGGTGCTCTGTGTGGAGGCTGTCTGCTCACTGTAACTACTCTGGAGTTGGGTTTTGTTCTGTTTTACAAGTAACAGTGAAACAAACACTTCCGTGAGCTGTGGATTAATAGCTGGCATGGATTTGGGCCAATGTACTTGAATACATTCATGAAATTTCACTTTCTCCTTAGTATCTTATCTGCAAATATTTCAAATTTACAATACTTTCCTTTATCTTTGCTGTGTTTCCCTTGCTAGTAAATACACATAATACATCCTGGTTTTGTTTGCGCGTCGATTTTCTTTCTCAGGAGAACAGATAAATAATTAATCATTGACTAAGGGAGAGACTGGTGTGGGAATGACGCCAGGTCTAACCTTGAGTCTTTTCTATTTCTTTGTGATGTTTTGGGGAAAGAGAAATGAAACAAAGAAATACGGCCACATACAGTGTGTCTTAAATCCTTCCTTGAATGAAAAGTGTTTGGGAAAACTCCTTCCTTTCCAAGAACATCTTTGGTTTGTCTGATATAGTATTGTTGTCAGGTACACTGGATTCACTTGAAAAGGAGAATGTGACAAACCAGTGTTGATTGTATAATAATTGAATGTAGCTGTCTACAGCTGCCAGTCACAATCAAGACTGAAAATCTCAGCAGCAGAAGCACAAATTCCTGACCTCTAAACTGAAGGAAGAGCTCCCTTACCTAGAAGTAACAGCCTATTGCATCCTCTGCAGCCATAGGAGAGAAACATTCAGTGCACCGCAATTATGCCAAGCATCATAACCTCTGCAGTTATGTGCAGAATAAATGTAGATTGATCATTATTAACACCCTTTTTTTTTTTAAGAATCTGCCTAAGTGCCTCACATCATAGAAAATAAACTCATTAGAAGATGATGGTGTGCAAACATTGGAAGTCTAGGTTTCCTTTCTGTCCTTAATAGGTCCCCCTTCTGTCACTTCATTCTCTCCCTGAAGATTCTTGATTAGAACTATTTGGAAGATTGGCAGTTGAAGCGACTTTGGGAGGTAGAATAGCCTGAAATAGCAGTGGAAAAAAGAAAATATTTTGACTCCCAAACATAGCTGCGCTGCTTCCTGGGAAATGTTGCAGATGTTGCAAAGCAGTATTCTACATTATGGGTTGGATTCCCCATCATGAGTAAATAGATCAACATGCACTTCTCTTTCTCTTAGTTTGTACAGGGCATTGGTGTGTCAGGGCAGTAACTCGGCCCCAGTAGACCCAGAGGAAGAGGAGTGTAAACTAATGGCAGCATGGTTTGGAAGACCTCAGCATTGTTACAGCATTGCAATAGCTAAGGTTATGATTACTGTTCCAGCTTCAATTTTCTGCAGGAAACAAGCACCATCAAGCAGAAACATTTTTAATTAAAACGGTTCTGTCAAAAGCTCAGTTCTCCATTGCACACAATAGATCCCTACTATTTATTTTTTCTTTTATTTGTCAGATTTGCTTTTGACAAATGGAGCAGGCGCTGATGCTGCCTGCTTCTCTTAGTCCCCTGTGGATCAGATTAAATGACAAGGGCTGCTCCCTATAATTCTCATCTGTGAGTTGCAGTGGTGAGATGCATTTATGACCACGATCATGCATTCTAGCAGAGATTGCTTCTCCTAAAGCTTAATGGAAAAGAACCTCTTAGAGAGAAAGGAAACAATTTTTTTTCTCAGAAAAAGTCCGGAGGAACAAACAATCTTCTCTAGATTCTGGAACAGTAGGTTAAGCATCATTTAGAGAGCAAAGAGAAAAACCATGCCTGGCTGCTCTCCTGACACACAGATCTGTGCTTTAAATAAGCACTGCAAGAGAGAAGGGTTCTGTGGGGGGGCTGTTGCTTCTGGAGAATTCAGAGGAACCCCGTATCTTGTGTTGGCTGCCCAGGAAGCTGGCATACTACTGAAAATGAAGCAGCAATAATGAATCAGAGTTTCTGGAAGCAGCAGTAGGGTAGGAGAAAAGAAAGTGATCCAGTAATTAGTATGCTGGCCTGTAGTTTTACAGACTTTGGTATCCTGATATGCCACAGGCTTCCTGCATCAGTCTCTGAAACTGAGATCTTAGGGGGGATCTAACACTTACTGATGCTGATTTTTTTTTAATAACAATTGAAATGCTTTCAAGTAGCTCTGGGTCCAAAATTAAATATCTTTTTTTTATAATGTTAGATTAATATAATGCTTCTAGCCGGTAAGCTCCCCATTTGCATTATATTAAATTTGATGAGATAAATGAATCAAAAGTGTGTCCATGATCAGTACTAAAAGGTTAAATAGGGTTTGGGATTTTGAGTGCATTGAGTTCCATTTATTTAAAGTCATAGCAACAGGAACTGTGATCTTGGCCAGCTGAGAGAAACATTTACAAAAGAAAAGTTAAAAAGATAGAAAAGAAACAGATAGGAAAGAAAAAGATCCGGAAGGAAGAGCAGCAAGGAGAGCTCAGCGCTTGCCCAGGTTATAGACAAAGCTGGCGAAAGTAATGAGTAATGAGTTAACTGGGTCGTCTTCTCCATTCTGGTCTGCTCTTTTGTGCTCAGGAGAGTGAAAACGCTGGTAGGGCATTGGTGTATTTTAGCACAGGGGAGATGTTGTAGGAAGCAGCCATAAAAAAAAAAAAAAAAAAAAAAAAGCTTCACTCCCCTTAGCATATTGCCTTTCATGACTGTCTTGATTCCTCTTCAGCCTTTTTGTTTAATGGCCCTTCTGAAGTGTGGAATAGCTGATCCCTCTATTATTTTAACAGTAAACAGATGGGAGGTTAATCTAGCACATTCTGTTCTAGTTTTGTTTCCTTCTTTCTTATCACAAATGGTTTTAGTAGTACAATTAGGCTTTTTGTTTGGATTAATCCAGGCCTTTTTGCTGCCTTTTATAAACAAATCACTGTTACCTTGGGCAACAGTGTACATGCCATAAGGAATAGCAACAATAATCTTTTTCATCTGTGCTTGCATAGAGCTACTCTCTGGATGATGTCTCTGCAGAGCCATCACAATGTAAATAATTAATAATAACAGTTGTTAACACTTGGATGGGACTCTGTTATTTGTAAACAAAGAACATTTACTTCCTCCGCATTGCTTACTACACAAAACAAAATAACTCCAAAGAAGGAAGTTGTTTTCCTCACGTGCTTGGAAAAGCACAAGAACTCAGCGACTCATCCAAAGGGAAAGGTCAAATGGGATTTTAGATAGTCTCAGTTTGAACACTTTGTGCTATTAGTAATAGGGATGCACAAATCTGATATTTATGTTCACAAATACATCTGTCAAAATTCCATTACAAAACAAATAGATACTGTAGTAAAATTGTCCAGTAAATTCATGTGTAGCTATTATGATAAGAGAAAGACCATAAAACCAAGAAAATTTTAAAGGGCGTTTTATTACAGTGTATAAATACAATTAAAATAGCAAAGCCGTGTCAGAAGTCTCCTGTGTTTTTTC